TATAAGTCTTAGTAACAGTTACTAACCAGGGCGGTCGTCCAAGTGGGACTTCATTGGTGTCGTCAGCGAGACCTCTTCCACCTCCGCCTGCACATACTCAGACAGCTCCATCACTGCTTCCACCGTTGGTGCATAATCCACTCGTAATTCTTGCCTCACGTTTGCAATGCGAAAGGCCATCTGAGCGCCTCCTGATTTGGTGGCACTGTCAACCATGCGCTGCACCGTGACCATGAGAACCACAGGGTCAGGGAGCGTAAGGTGAAGTTCCTGCGCTCTGGTCAGCCATCGTCGCCATAACCTCACTTGTGTCAGCAAATCTGCCGTCCCCGTGGCAAACTTTGTCTCCACCAAACTTTTGAGGAGTTGCGTTTTTTCCGCCCCGCCTCCCGGCTGGTACGCCACATGTAAGCGGTACAGGATGTGGACCACCGAGAGTTGCCGCCCACTGACAAGATCCCGCCGGAGCTGATCAGGCAATGCCCCCAACAACATTGCAATGCCCCTTTGTTCAATCCTCTGCAGTGCAGGCTCAACCACCACCACTGGTTTCGCACGCAGTCGCTCCAGGGGTGTCATCGTCAACCAACGTGCATAGTGCTCCTGCGCAATGGAGAGTGACTCTTCCCACCAGGCCTTGGCGCTATGCGAAATGTCAGCCATCAAGGGAAAACTCATAGTGAGCCAGTCCCCAAACAAGATTGAAGCTCCCTCAACATTTGGAGAGGGTAGGGCAGGAAGTTCAAGGTTCCTCAACGCCTCCGTCGTCGATGCAGTCGAGGCCCCACCACCAATTCTCACCACCTTCTGCCCAGATCCATGGTCCACCGTAGAGCTCGACAATGGATGCCGCCCTTGAGGTAGTCCAGGGGGTTGATCCGGTACAGGGTCTCCCAAGTGTTGACCACTTGAAACCGTCTTGTAGGAAGTCGTGTCCGTTGGTTCACGGGAAGTGCCAAGTCGACGAAGTTCCCTTTGAAATGCTTCCTCAGCTTCCCGGAGAATTCTGGTTCTCAGGGCTTCCACATCCTCCGGACCCGGCGACATCGATCCCGAGTCCTGTGCCATAGGTCCAGCACCTGCCCCAGCAGCCGCTGGAGTGCTCCCACACGTTCGTGCTTCCGCATGACCTCCAGGAAGAAGACCTTCACCTCCAGGTTGACCTCCCTCCACCAGATTCCGCCTCGCAGCCTCCTGAACACCAGGACTCCAAAAGGGATTGATGTTGGGTGATCGACTTGGTGTTTGTCCCATTCCCTGCCCATAGTCCAAGGCTCGTGGATTCACCAAGCCGCTGCCATCACCAAACAGCCCTCCTCGAGCTCCCGGATCAGTGCCAGGTCCAAGAGGTGCGAGTAGACCCTGCCCTTGAGGTTGTCCCGCTAGTGCTTGTTGAAGTGCATGATAAGTTCGTTGGACCGCGTCATGAAGTGCCCCCAAACCCACCGTGGAACTGGTCGATGTTGAAGGTGCCCCAACCGGTTCGCTGGTCTTCACCGACTTCAGCGTTGCTGGCCCCACCTCTCCTCCATCTTCCAGTGCCTTGAGATTGCCCTCCGAGGACCCAGTCACAGGCGGTCGAAAGGAGGTTGGTGGACCCCTAGGAGTGCTTCCCACATCCGATGCCCTCCTCGGCCCCGCATCCGCCGATCGCGACCTCCTCACCTCTTCCTCTATCAGCGCATCCAGGCGGCGATCCGCTTCGCCGATCACCACCGGCGCCGCCTCCGCAGCTGCCTTGTCGCTCGCCGCTCTCCGTCTTCTCATCGTTGTCGATGACATGGCAGGTCGCTTGGGCTCATAACCTGAGCGTGCGACACCAAAAGCTAAAAAAGCTGCCGCACTTATTTCTTGAGCCAAAGTTCAGGTTGGGTTGGTTTCAGTGCTCATGACTGACGTTTCATCCTCAAAAAAAGGAAAGGGTGGAGCGGTGCTCAGGATTTCTCAGAACCGTTTGAATTCCAAAGAACCATTCTTATACATATACATGGATACAAAGGGCGACCATTGTTATACAGTATACCATATTCCAAGAACCATTGTTATACTAGCTGTTATACTGTACACATTTGCAATCTGCATACTATGGACTGGGTGACTGCCCCCATGGACTGCGCCACCCGGCTGAGAGGTCGCATTGAAGTTCTCAGCCGAGAGCAGCCTTACCAAACCCACGGGCAAATCTCTAAGCCTACAAGTCCCGTCTGACCCAGCAAAGCCTGATCTTTTACATTTTTAAGTACTGTTTTTGTATGACCACGTCCAGTAAAATGGGGTCATTGACCTGTAGGGTACTAAAGAACATTTAAAAAACACACATATGAAACCAATCTGTCACACACTTGGCCCACACATAGCCCATCTAATCGCTCATCTCAGCGCTGCAGGGGGGGTGGACGTCTCTCCCCAAGTGTCACTCCCAAAGACAGCGTGAACACCAGTGGGGTGAACACGGAAGCTCGCTCCGAAGCTCGAGCTGCGCTGGGCAGGCGCGGTGGCCTTCGAATCTCACGGCAGCTGTTGGTTGCTGGAGTGGCAGGTCCGGAAGCTCCATGCACTACCGCCACTCGACCTGTTGGTTCCGTCGGTCTGCCGCGACCTGTCGCGACGTGTACGGCAGGTTCGTCCAAGAATCGGTTGCTGCTGCGGCAAGGGAGAGGGGAAAAAACAGCACCCGCCACCCAGGACAGGTGGATAAATCACCCCTATTAAACCTCCTTTATTATATAATCTCCTGTAACTGTTACTTGTATTTTGGGGATTAGTTTCCCCACTCAAAACCGGTTATATATAATATGCCCTTCCGTTCGACCATTTAAAACAATGCGAACGACCTGGTTTTGGTCGTGTGAAATCCTTGTCGTTGATTCGGGATGACCAGCCTATTACTGTAAATGAATTGGTGGGCCAGGAAGCCTGGGACTGAAGGCCTGACTCTTCCTTCAACACCTCGCCGGTCGACCGTCTCAGGGCCGACTGGCGCCCCGTGGCGCTGCAGAGCGGTCTGCTGCTCCTCGAGCGGCTCGGGGGATCGGTCCCGGAGTTGCTGCGCCTCGGCGAGCGGCGGCCGCGGGGAGCGGACGCCAAAAGGATCGAACGGGTCGAAGCTCGAAGGGTGGATGACGACCGAGAAGGTGCTTTTGCTTGACTGGGGCAGAGGACGAACGGAGAAGTGTAGTCTGAAGACAATCGATCAATCATATAGTTCATGGAATTTTCGGCGCAATTCCCTGAACACTTCGGTGGGGGTCAGACTGTCCAAAGCTGGAGACAAGGCAAACACCCTCATAAAGATGGGTTAGTGAGTCGTTCAATGCGTCTCATGCGAGTCGTTCGTTCGTTCCGCTCTTCAGCGGCCTCCTAGCAGAGATAGATTCATCCTGCCTAGTGAATTCTGTAAGATTTGGTCAGTCAATGGACGAATCTGGCACTAGCAAGGAGGGGTTTTTCACGGCCCTTTTTTCGCCCATCCCACCCCCCTAAAAAAAGAACAACTACAGGGTCCTAGTTCTGGCCTCTCAACCTCTCTTGGTAGATCTGGGCCCACTTCGTGACTCCTGATGGTTTCATCCGCCTCGACCTGCAGAAGAGGGGGCGCGATTCAATTCGGTTCGGCGTTGTCCGGAGTCTTCGGAGCCCGTGGTGGGGCGACCCGGTCCCCAAGGGCTCCAAGTCTCTAAGCCTTATATGCACCCCAAACCCTAGGCCTTCAGTCGTACCTTCGTTTCGAAGGTGGGACTGGGGTGGGTTTGGAGGGTCTTCGCAGGCTCCAACCATCTCCTCGGAAGGTGGTTAGACCCCCAAAACCCACCCCAACCACCTTCTCCGGAGGTAGTTGGACTAGGGTATCTGGACCCCAAAGGGATAGAATCGGATAGAAAAGAGATAGATCAAGGTAGATCTCCATGAACATCATTCGAAACCTTTGGGTCCACCCGTTTCTGTCCTGTTATTTAAAGGAGGAGACCACCGTACTGCCCATCTAATTCCCATGTGTTCAGTCCAAAGGAGGGGCTCACCGAGGTTCCTGGAGCCGGACTGAGCTCCGATGTGGTGGGTCACTGCCCGGCCGGAGGGCGGGACACTTTTGCGAAGCGAAGTGGTGGTGACATGGAAGGATGATGGGTTCCACGTGCCGTGAAGATGACTCACTCACCAACTTGCGAAACTCCAAGCACCTGGGATGTTTCCATCATCGCCGCCACTCCGCGCCGGCCCGGCGGGGTGAGTGGCGCGCGGCGCGCCGGCCTCTCTGCGCGCGCCAAGCCTGTGGGGGTTTCACAGGTGGAGCCACCGAACGTCCAAGTCGACCGGCCTTTGTCGGTCAGGATGCGATGGGGGACGCTGTGCGAAAAACGGCGGCGCAGTCGTTCTCTCAGCTTGGAAGGCCTGAAACGGGCACCCCTGGGAGTCGTCCCCAAAGACCATGGGTTAAAACGGTCTGACTAGGGGATCCGAAAAGGAACTTCTTTTACATACCGGTTGAAGGAGTCCTATATAAAATGAGGGTGTTGGTGATAGTCAAATCCTTCACTCGAGAACCCTCTTAGACCGGTATTCTTTTACTTGGGTGGTCCATGGTGGTCCCCAAATGTGCCCCCAAATAGCCTTTGGACTTCGGCTGGGGGTCCGATAGGCACGATTTCGCTCGTGGGACCTCACACATATCTCCGAAGATTCACGTGAAGCACGTGGGGGGGCCCCCGGAGAGATGACTCTTAACTCCGACTTGTGGCAGGTCAACCTGCTTTGACCATGCAACTCACCTTATCGTGCTTCCATGCGGTTCACGGTGTTTGGCTCGGATTTGGCTCAGCTTTTGACATTTAAGCTAGCATAGGGGTATCACGACGTATCCATATCTTCCCCATGAACCGTGAGCCTGTGAAGCAAACCCTTTGGGAACCGTATGAACCGCGTCTTGGGAGCCATGAACCGTGTTTGTTCGCTCCGCACTCGTCCGGAGGATTGATGGATCCAAGCTCACTCGTCCGCTCCAGGAGGCCCCGGAAGCTGGGCGAGGACGGGTGCCCAGCAGAAGCCGCCGCGATGCCCGTGCAGATGAGCTTGCAAAGAGCCTCGACCGGTGCGGGAGGAGGACGGCGGCGCATGGCACGGTGGTTTCCCGGTCGAATCCGGTCGATCACAAGGCAAAAACGATCAAATTTAGCAAGTCTTTGAACTGGGGGGTTTGATGTGGGGTGTGTGTCCCATTGACCTGCAACCGTCGAAAAGAGATGAAACGAGTATGAAAAGAGTATAAATGAGTATAACATAGTATCATACCCTCAGCTAGTAGGGTCTAGAATGGGAGACCCTTGAGGGATAGACTGGTTGGGGTCTAAGAAGGGTCCCACCAAGTAGTTGAGGGTATTATATAGTATCACCATGTCTCACCCATTTTTGGAGATGTCAACCTGCAACCTCACCATCATGCACTGGACCCAGGGAATGGATCCGGACACTTCAACCAAGCAGCCCAGGAGTGGGGGGGGGCGCCGCCTTTATCCACCTGGGACCGTTTGGTAGACACGAGGTGTGGGCTCCAACCTGAGCCAAAGGCCCATGCCGTGACAGCCCCGGAAAAAGCTACGGTCCACACAATTGCATCATACCAAGAGAGGTGAAGTGACCGAGGACCGGCGCCAATGGTCGGTCGTTGATGTGCAAACCCGGTCTCACACCTGTTTGAGTCACAAGTCATCAGTTGGAAGGTCCCCCCAAAAAGACTCAAACAGGTGTGTATTTTAATTAGGGAGACCTTCCAACTGATGGGTTTCGGTCGATTTTCCATCCTTCTTCAAGGATTTCAAGGGGGTCGCCATGGGCATCGCCCTATTCTAATACAAACTCAAGTAGAGTGGAAGGGCTGGTTGAGCGGGGTGAGGATGGTGAGGGTGTGCCATGTCAAGAAACATGAGCCGTTCTTGAAGTTTGAAGGGTGGGTTCTTCGTACTTGATTTGCCCTGGCTGGGCGGATTTGGGGCACACTCCTTGTTGTACCTCCGCTGGTACGTCTCCGCTGAGTTGATCAGTCGGATGAGTAGGAGTGGGATCAACTGGTGAAGGCCGGTGCCAGGTGACTGGCACAGCCACGGAAGGCTCTCAAACCGCAGCCATGGACCCCACGGAGTTGGGTGGTTCATGGACACCCCCCCCTCAATCAGTTCTAGACTTTCGGGGCTATGAGCAGACACCTTTTGGTGAATCCCTTGGTGCGTGATCTCTCATGGGTCATCCCGATCCATTCTGCTTGGAGCCTTGCTTTTTTGCAAAAGGCAGTGACTCTCCTCGTTTGACGTCTAGACTTGCTACGTCCGAGTCCACTGGTCCAGGTGCTCGTCAGGCCGCTGTGGCTTTCCTCATTCTGGCGAACGATTACTTGGCCTCATGGCCACATATGGCCGCTGCGAGCGCGAGTGTGTGAGTGTGAGGAGATTGGCACCAAAGGAGGGTGTGGCGGGTACAAAGATGGAACAAGTAAGCAAACAACCAGAGTTTGGGGTCGCTCAAAGAGAAGAACTCAGTTTCATCTGAGGCCTTCTTTGGTACCTGTCACAAGACAGGTGTTGGGAGACAGCTCAAGCTGTGTTACCGCTCATCCCTGGCTGATTGTTGCGGGAGAAAGCTGGAGAAACTAAGGGGCTGAGAGGTGTCAGCGATTTTCTCAACTCCCTTGGCCCATTGACGCCACTGAAATCCGGGCATTGTACAGCGGGTTGTCGTTGTTTCATGTGGTGTCCTATTTTTTAAGCTGGCCCTGCACTTCTGCAATCACCATTAGCCAACCTGCAGGTCTTTTGGAGCTTCCATCAGCCCTCAGCCATCCTCAGCCCACCTCGCACACCGATTCTCAGGGCGCGGTGCGGAACCCACCCAAGGCCCAGGTGCGACGGCTCATCGCGCGGATCTTGCACCCCACGGAGGGCCTGGTGCTGTGCCATCTGGACGCCAAGGCGGTTCGCGGCACCCTCCTCGCTCGCTCGTACGGCAGCCGCACGGGCGCGCGCACGGCAGGGACCGTTGAAGAGGACCTCTTCATCATGATCGCCATGGGGGTGTGATCAATCAAGAGTCTACCTGAATTCCACGCTGCGAACGCGCTCCGCGCCGCGTGCGTGGCGTTTGCGGGAAGGAATCGAACGGCTCCAGGTGGCGCGCGTCGAGGATCTGGAGCACTTCCGCCGCTGGGCCCGAGGGTTCCATCAAGGAGCTGTGCCTGGGGCGTGAGGAGATGAGGGGGAACTGGGGCTGTTGGGGAATGAGCCAATTCTTGCCACAGCTATTCTTGTGGGTCATTCCCCAATGGGGAGAATGTAGTACCATTGTAGTTGCCACAGCATGTTGTTGGGGAACTCCACAATGGTAGTACTACAGTATAATATATACAGAATCTATATATAAATACATATACGACGGTGTACAGTAGACTGCAGTGTACCACAGCCACAGCAACAAGTCTTGCCGATTAAGCTGTTTGGAGGGCTATTTTGTTTGGTGGAAAACATGTGTGAATTTAATTTGCTTCTTCTTCTCGCTTATTTCTTGCGTTTCCTTCCTTCTCTATGACATCTCTTTTGCATGTCAAATGGCCATTTTTGGCATGTAGAACATGGAAGATCCCCCAATGGTCTTGGAACGGGGAGACCAGAACGTCTTCCGCTGACTGCTGCCCAGTGGAACGCCAGATTTGGGACGGTCTTTCGGCAAAGAGCGATCAGTAGACTGTTTGACATGGATTCAAAACGCCTCCTTCGCATGGGGATTGAACTAATTAGAACCCAAGCGACATCTAGATTTACAGGGTGCATGATATATACAGTAGCTGCTTGACCCCGGTTTGGGAGCCCAAAATAGGGTCTTTTCCTATCAAAACAGAGGTCATGTCTGGGTTCGTAAGACTTGACACCACACGACGTGACACATCTCCGACCTGACCCTTTGGACGATCCGAGGAGCGCGTGCAGATCTTCAGCTCCTTCTCAGTGCATCGTGGAGGCCGTTCCATGCTGGACGTTCAGCTGAAAGCGCTTCAGCTGCTCTTGGCCAGCCCAATTGCTTGGGACTACTATGTGAATCTCAGTGTCTCGAAGGAAAACCGGACGGAGGAGGTGGTGGGAGCGGCGGAGTTCGTTCGGTCTGGCACACGGAGTATCAACAAACGTGTGCTGATTTTTTTTAGGAGCTTCGTAGTTGGGTTTTGGAGGCATATTTGAGGCCCAGAAATAAGACATGTCGGATATCAAATTTCCATATAGTTTTACTACGTTTTCAGCCTTTCAACAAACTAACACTGGGTTTGAAGAACGAACCTTCCAGAAGCAACTGCAAACATCGCATTTTCTCCTTTCGAAGACGTTGAGCCGTTGAACTGGAGGTCAAGAAGAGCTCAAGAACACATTGAATTGCAGATGATCCTCAACATGTTCACCAGCACCGTAGCTTACAAGCATTAACATTACCCTCTCTAACATGGAAGTGGATAAAACCACCTGCTGGTATCTGCTGGCAGAGGATTTCATGGTCTTCCCAGTGCCCAGGCCGTCCATTTCCATGTGATGTGCTCCTCGGAGTGTCCCGTCTACCGTCTACGGTGGAGAACTTCAGGCGGCAAAAACAACATGATCCCTTCCCGACATGGCCGGATGGCCCGACGGAGTTCCAGAAGCACACGTGGCCCGAGGTGATACGCACTACCCAGCCGAAGCGATGTCATGGGTGGGTTCTTATCTTTGGCTCCACCGCGGGGTGAACTACGCCGCTGGGCCGCACGGCTGGTGCCTCGGGCGCCCGAATGGTGCGTGGCCCAAGAACCACGACACAGGTGGTCGCAGAAGGTCGCGGAAGGTCGTGGCATGCGTTCACCGTGCATATATTCCGGGTGATGGTTTCAGATATGATATGTCTATTATTTTCATGATATGTTCATCTATTTTCCATATGTTCAGCCTTTACTTGGGACGATTGAACCCACTGTAGTATATCATATGTGTTTGGACACCACCAACCAGATATGGCACATGTTCGGTTTTCACCCTGCAGTCGGTGTCACTTTCGACCTCCGCCTCGAGGCTCGAATCACCTCCACCAAGTTCTACGACCCCACGCTGCAGGGCGGAAAGGAGGCCACCTATGCTGGGCCCCGCGCCTGGGATACAAATGATGGATACCCTACAGGTCAGTTTGACCTCACTGGGTCCGGGAAAATGCCAGAACCCAGTACTCGATGATACTCGATGAGGTCAAGGACCAGGTTTAACTTAGCCACTGGCCCTTGGACTATGACTTATTGTAGGGGATGTCTTCCGGTTTCTTCAGATGCCTTCCGGTCCAACCGGTGCCAACCGAACTGCTGCCAGTGGCGCCACGCCACGTCCACCGTCCACCGTCCTCGCGTCGTGACCCGGGTCAGGTCGGGAGGATCTCTTCATCTCGTGTGACCGGTCCTTGGCCTTTGAATGCGAGGGCCAGCTGATGTCACTGACGCCAGGAGAAGGGAACGGTGGAAGATGGGAATTCCGGCCGACCCGGGTCTCCCTGCCTCCCGGGGGAGTGGTTGGGGAGTTGTAGGGGTTCCAAATGTGGGGTTTGCTGATGCCTGATTTAGGATGATTTAGGTGGATCCAAGTGTGGACCAGATGCACCGGGGGAGGGGGTGAACAGGGCCAGGTGGACCGTGGCGCGGTGGGCCAGACACTGCGCGAGGCGATCCTTTTTGTGGGTTCACGAAGGGACACCAAGGCCGGGAGAGTATGGGTCCAGTGGAGCATGAGTGGAAATTGTTTGGAATCGTTTGCTGCCGCGCGCGCGTTTTCCTCTAACAGACGTAACAGATTCGTTTGGCATGCGATTAGTTTGTGGGAGCTGGCAGGAAGCTAACCTAGTTTTTTCATGTTATTGTTTCTTTATATCCGTTTGAGTGCTTTGCAGTGCATGTATGTGACCCTGCTGGATTGACTGAGGAAGGGTTTGCGGGTCTAATATCATTTGATCACATATCCACCCAAGCTGGTCTCCCAGGCGAACGAGGTCCAGGCCTGTCTCATCCCGAGACATCTCCACCCGCCAGACACGCGAATGCACCAGGAGTGAAATATCCACCCTTGTGGTCTGGGGTGAAAGCTGCCTCTGGACCCGAGTGGTTGGTGTTGACGCGCGACTTCGTGGAATATGTGTTGGAAGGTTCCTTGGAGCGCTCCATGTGTTGGGCCGAACTGAAGATGAGGTTATGACTGAGGTCATGTAGATCATGTAGGCTCTTGGTTACACTTCCACGTCCCATATGAAGACGTTTTGCAATCCAAATGCGGTGGCTTGTGTGTTTTATTAAAAAGAGGTTGTGTGATACCCAGAACAAGCCCCTTAGGAACTAACAACAACCGGATTCCCCCGACAAGGCAACACCCGTCTCCCCTCGACAACAGTACCCCACCAACTCCACGACAACGGAACACGGGGAATCACACTGCAGATGGCACTTGTGACCATCCCGGGCACAGTGATCCAAATTAGCCTTCCCACCCAAAGCTCCAGCAAAATCTCCAGCTGTCCCGCAGCGGAGCGGCACGTAGGAAGAGGCGGGCCTGGGCGTGTCAGGCTTTCAAACACCTGGGCTGTTCGTGAGTGATTCGCGGAATGGCGGACCCTTCTTTACAGGAGCAGTTGCAGCATTATTGTAGAAGACATGGAAAGATGCGGGAAGTATATGAAGTAGACGGCGCAGAACGCTGTTTTGGGGCTAAGTGCCTGGATTGTGACGTGCCCCAGGTCCTCCGCAACCTCCTACAGCCTCAGAGAAGCCACGTAAGCCATTTTGGAGTGTAGGCGCTGTTTTGCGACTCGTTGCCTGGACTGTGACACGCCATGACACGCCTCAATTAAATTAAGGCGCGACCTCTTGTACTCTCCGGCGGAACAGCGGCAGTTCACGTTCCACGCTGCCAGGGGCTGGCACCTTGTCTACCTCACAGCCGCCGTGTGGAAGGCGACTAGTGTGAAAGAATTGGGGCCGAGTCGAAGAGACGAGCCCCACACCTTTTCCACGTCTTCAGTAGTTTAAAATATCTCGAGCAAACGAGATAACCAGAAGATAGTTGAAGCAAACTTCGCCCCGGGACTCTTCTTCAGCGAGCTGCCCACATGCATGAATGACCACCAACTCCGAAACTTGCAGTTTGCGCAGTGCATTTTTCTTTTGACAGCCTTGTGTCCATGTTGAATGAGTTATGGCCAAGAAGGGAAGCCAAAACCATGGAGCCATGGTTTTGACATGCGCACCACAGCCCCATCAAAACCCAGAAGGAGGCACAAAACGGGATGTTAAGCAAACACAGCACTTGTTTGGTCTGATTCCGACCGGGCTGTCATGTTGCAAGGGTGGTGCAAGTTGTGCTGCAGAGCTTGCGATGACGTGTGCTTCTCGCACGCCGAGCTGCTACCAAAAGATGATTTGGAAGGGGTGCACGTCACGCCAGCGGATGTTCTACGCGCAGCAGCGCGACGCTTGTGCAAAGAGACAGGGGGGTATCTTGTGGGTTTCCGCTCGCCAAGGAAGCTTCCAGGTCAAGTGCTGGAATAGTAGCTCAATGTGACAAGCATGAGTCTTGCGAACTGCATGTCCGTTTGTGGTAAGACTGGTAAGAGAAGAGGTGCAGTCCCGCCTTGCAGTCCACGCGCATGCAACGGCCCCTCGAAAAGCCAGAGCGGCCACAAAGAACCCGCAATCCCCCAGGCAGGTTGTTTTGGCATGTTTGCATGACCGCGCCCGGCGCCCTTCAATTCGACAATAATTAATTCGTGTGCGTATAGTGGCAAACGTACTTGGACGACGGGGCATGACACTAGGAGAGTTTGCGCCACGCAGGCAAGTCTCGAGCTCTAGAAGGTGAGCCCTACCCAAAGGCCAAGGCCCAGCCACTGGCTCAGCCCCCCGCCGCGCCTCAAGCGGACCCCGATTGATTACATCTTGAAGTTCATCCGCTTGGCTGAGCATCGAGGGTGGGTGGTTCGCGCGCCTTCAATCTCATTTCTGCTGCCTGTGATGAGGCAGAGGAACTCGATACTTCCAAAGGCACGTGCTTCCCCTGAGCGACTAAACCCGTTCAACATGTCGGGTCTGAGGACAAACCTTGGGCTTTGAATGTATCAGACCAAAACCTCGGGTTCTTGAACAACACCTCGGGTTTTCTTTATAAGATCCCTACTTCAAGGTTTTTCACGCTTCCGCCACGCCACAGGTGACTAAATTGTTGGAAATTTAAAGAGAAGTTAGTGGTGAAACCCGTGCCCACCCCATGATTTACCCGTGCCAATCCGTGCTCTTTTTCCACCACACATGACTAAATGGCACCGGAAGAAATCAGCCAGAGTCTAACCACACTCCGGAATCCTGCCCGGAGCAGATTTTCGAAACCTCGGGTTTTGATTGAAAACCTCGTGTTTTGAGGTGAGCCGTATGTTTTTAAAGGTTTTGATAGGCCGAGGTTGTTATGGCTACCTGCCACTTGTCACTTGTCAGCCCGAAGGTTGGCTCCAATGATCGTCCGCGCCGTGAGGACCAAGAACATTGAGAGGCTCCACACCGTTTTGGTGGATGCCAGTGTTGTCATGGCGGTCGGCGCGCGATGGCCCGGCACCATTTGCAAGTGGACTAATCAGGTGCAAGTTTTGAGGACAGCCAACTCCAGAACGCCAGCAAGCCCACCACACTTGAAGACTTCCGATCCCGCTTGGAAGCCATTTTCTCCCACCCATCCCATCTCCAAACCCCTTTCCCATCGGCATCTCCTGGCTTCTAGCCTTCATGACACGCCGACACTCACAGCCCCACCCCACTCCACACGACCTTCGAGGATGTTCAGACCAAAGTCCGGTGCCACAGCCCTACGAAAGCGGAGGGTGATCCCTTCGCTTCGCCATTGACTGCCTGCACCCACGAATCCCCACACAACACTCACGAGGACAAGCGCAAGCTCTTTGTGCAGGCCGCCCTGATCTAGGTCCCCCGTTCCCAGCCTGCTCAATTTCTTCCGGGCGATGAACCCTTCAACCTACACACCATCACAGATCTACACTCACTTGCTACCCAGGCCCGGCACCAGCACGCACCCGGGCCCACACCACCGAACAAAAGACCCTTAGCGTGGGCACCCTCATCGACATTTTCCTCGTCTACCCCTACCTGCGGAACCCAACGTTGCGCGCAGAGGTGCCCTTAATATTCTTGACAAGGAGGGTGCCAAACCATCCAGTGTGGACCTGTGGACCGTTGTTGTGTGATCAGATGACCATTGTCCATGATAGTGGGTTTGAAAAGAAACGCAGAGCTAGGACATAAGAAGGCACTTTGCAGCACCACCGAAATGGTGACTATGGGTGGCTCTTGGAGGGAAAATGCATAGTCAGGGGGTGTTTTTCTTCAACCATCCTTTCTGTGGTGCTGGTTGCTGGTTTATTTGTCCCGTTTTCTTCAGAGGCTTCACGTTTTGCACGATCGTTTCTTCCGCTACCCAGCTCTGCCTAGAGGCTTAAACACTGGCCCTGCCGGCCGCACCACGAACCTGGTGCGAGCGATCTATGAGGATTTGGCATCCTTGAGCATCCCAGAGGAGCAGATGGAGAGGAACCGGTGGCAGCATCTTTCAGTTTTCTTCCTGAACAGAGAGTTCAAAACCATGTTGACGGGTTTTGTAGCAGCTAAATCCCTAGGCCCTAGTAGAAAGAATGGTGGCCCGGTAAAAACCAAATGAATGGGGTGAAAGACGGCCGGTTTGATGCACAGTGAAGCGAAGAGAACGAGCTAAGAGGATCTCCGGAATGAGGCGGGGTAAGATGTGATCATTTGGGGGCGTGGAAAGGCTGGAGTGGAGGAAGTTCACTCAACAGCGGAAAGCCATGTGCCCTCCCTGAAACAATCATGCAAGTGTAAGTCATGAGGCTGCTTTAAACCTTTGCTCTCAGGGTGTTTTCCACTTTGGCATGGCATTGTATCATGATGCCTCCTTTAGCGCAACTGTGGGGAGTTTGCGAACGTGAGAGCCAGCTGCAGGTCGGAGCGGCACCCCAGTCCCAACACGTTAGTAACCTTAGCAAAGACACAGGTCGGAGGCCCAGCTCGACCCCCGTGGCAGGTTCGGAAAACAGAGCAGTCCACCCATTCTTGGGTTTTCTTAGGAGAGCGCCCTAGACACGACAAGAGTTTGAAGTTGTGGAAACACAATGAAAACCAGAACTACCTAAGTATTTTTGAAGAGTGCCTGTGTATAACAATATTTTAGTATTTCAATTTGTAATAATAGAACTTGCTGAAAAGCAAGCGCCGTGCTGAAAAGCATACATAGTTTCACATGTTGCTGAAAAGCACCACTGCCTTTCCAGCAATACAGTTATATAAAAACAAAAAATCTGCAAACACAGGGGAACATAATCATTTGATTTTTTTGGAACCTTGCTCATCGACGTATTTTGGAACATATTTTTGTAAATTTGAAGCAGTGTTGCTTTCCTCCTGGAAGCAGAGAAAGAGCAACTCTTACTCTTTACCAAGGAACTATCAGGCAGTGCTCCAGCTGACTCAGGTCAGGCTGAGTCAGGAACCGTTGCAGGGACTTCAAGATCAATGCCGAAGAACCTTCAGGTACCACTCAGGAATCGTTTCAGGAACCGCTCATGGACTTCAACATCAACCTGGTCATTTGCTGAAAAGCATTTTTG